CCCCAGCCTCATGTCTGATGATAATAAACTACAACAACTGATTTTAAGGCGTAATAAAATACATTTTGGAAACATTTCTGTGCCTTTCTGGAACTGCACAGAAGCCGTGACGGCAAACACAAGCTCAAAGCACAAAGTTGAAATATCAAACTGGTTTCTCTTTGTTTCTGTTGTGCTGTATTTCGGGCATGTGTTCTCCATAGGAACAATAACAAAGTAATATCAGTAGAAGAGACAGAGGGTTGCTGTCTGTTGCAGAAATCATAATGAAGTCCATTATGCTGACATCTATCTCATCACAATAACATCAACAGAGCACCAACTGGCAGCAAACCAGCAATACTGATGTTCATTTCATGTTACTGTCAACCAACACACTAACATACTGTATACAGTAGACACATGCAGCAGGATTTCAATTGTAGTATTTTCCTGTTTTAAACAAAAAAAATTATATAGTCGATGTGTATGGATAACTGTTACATGTGTGTGTGTCTGTAGAAATCTCCGTGTGGCTGCTGTCTCTGTATGCATCAAGCGCAAGGAAAAAAATTCGAGTGACAAAATCTATCACCTTAACATCTCAGGGATTGTCGTTATCCTGTTACAAATGGCTCCCACAGCGGCCGGCGTGTCAGGGATGAGAAATTTCACACACTGTGGCATGCAAGCGCTTGAGTGTGAATTGTCACGGAGGCCTCTCTTCCATTTTTATATCGCTGTCTGGCATCGGCAATGCCACTTAAAGTGAAAATCCACTGGGAAACAAAAACCTGCGGGAGGTCAGTCGAATGAGCTTGCGTAGCTCGACCTGGATTTATGAGCAGTGACACTCCTCTCGGAAAGTGAAAAACAAGACAGACAAGGTGTCATCACACTGAACGTGCAGGTGGATATTGAGAGTGTCGAGTGATTTTTAACAGATCGGTGAACATTTATCTTGTTCTAAACCTAAGAAGTTATGCCTGTATACTTAAACATTACAAATTGGAAAAATAATAAATTACAAAAAAGTCATAAAATCATTTGATACACTAAAATCTTCAGTCAGTACAGATTTGCCGCAATCAACTGATTTGATTCCATCCATCCATTCAGCTTCATCACCCTAGTTACAGACTACTATGTATTTAAATCAGATATTTCATTTGAACTGACACTACTTATGGTCATATAAATTGTCTTATTATTATCTGGAAACCATTTAAACTGTTTCTAATTTTACAATCTTAATATCTATATCCATTTAGTCATACTTGACTGAGATTAAATTATAATTATAAATTATATATAGGAAATCTGACTGTTTTAAATAACTGAGATTCATTACTTTTGATAATGATATACAGAGTAGTTCATGTCCCCCTAGTCCTAAACAAATGGCCGCGTAAGGAGCGGTAATACTGGTTATGGTACAGAAAGATATACTGCAGATTATATGCTACACCACAGTGTCAACTATGAATATCACAGACTGCCCTGAGACACACACACCTATTATTTCCAGCCGACATGCTACACCTGCTTTCTCTCCCTCTGCTCGTTTTTTTCTCTTCCTGTTCTATCATACCTCTCCCTCTTTATCACTTCCTCTGACTCTCTCTCCCTTTTCGCAGCCTAAAAGATGATTACCTCCACAAAGGATATGGGAATTAACAGAGTGAGAGACAGAGCACAGAAGGGAAAAAAAATAAAAGAAGAGAGAGAACAGTGTGTCTACTTCCAACCAAAACAGCACATTAAGCCCAGGCAGGCAGCCGAGTGGAGGTAACACTGCATTTAGCACCCTGGCTGGGGGAGCTTCTGGACAACTGTCACAGGTGCAGATCTGTGCAAATGTGAGGAGATCTAAGGCGCAAGTGCAGAAAAATAAAGATCTCGGTGCACAGGTGTAAGTTGAGCCCTGACTATCTCATGCATGCATGCGCAGCGAGGATACACACTCTCACACACACATATTCTCGTACATTTCACCATCGGAGCTAATGACTAATAAATAATGTATACGCACTTTCTTTCACTTTTCTCATTTCTGCCCGTCTCTGTTTCTCGCTTTCAGCCGACGCAAAAACACGCTGTTCTGTCTCCCTCTCCCTCCCACTGAACATATGACCCCCCCCCAGCACACACACACACACTTACAGGCGCACACACAGAGTCACTCTTCACAGGAACAATCTGTCCCGTTAATGTGAGGTCACAGCAGACCGTTTTTCCACTTATCAGCCCTCTGGATTTAAATAAAGCCCTATCACTGATACACTGTTGCCAGGAAACACAATAGGATGCATCAATAACAGGATTTACCCAGAAGCCTACAAGACCCCTTTAGATGTGAGCTGCGTTGCCCCCTTTGTGTGGCTCCAGATTTCCCTGCCACTGTTGCTGGTGAGCCGCCACATTGTGCTGTAAAGAGATTTTACAATTTCTTTTGTGTTTGTATCCTTCTATCAGAGCTGCCAACTTTCTCTTATTTCCCAGGAGTCCAGATTTTTTTTTGTAGTTTAATTTTAAAAGGATTTCGATGCTTTTCAGTAGGTTTTAATCAGACAAATTGGTCCAAATGGAAAAATGTAAGTCCCAGTGGTGACAGATGTGTTTTGATCTGATTTTTTTTTTAGCAGCCATACCTTCACTTCATTTTTTTTAGCTTTCTCTTCTGCTCCCTGCTGATGCATGAGCTCTGATGGCATTTAGAGGAAGTAGACCAATGACCTCAGTGAGCAGGCATGTCTTATGTATCTAGCTATGAGGCATTTCCTGGCACCAGTGATAAAAGATTAATGCCTATTCTTACACTGCTTGCTTCCTTCGGTGCAAACTCTTTTAAGGTTAAAGAATACAGTACAGGAGGACACAAGATGCTGAGATAAGCCTGATGTAACAGCATGTATACAGTATAGTAGTACATGGTTTATTAATCACACTGTATGATAATAAACTTAATGTAATTTAAGTGCCTCAGAATCCATATATCTTTTACTAAAACCAGACCAGTACAGGTTTAATAATTATTTAGCAATGCAACAGTTTCAAGACTATCAAAGTCACAGTCTGGGCCTCCTGTAGGCAGACGGTGCTTAGGACCTGCCCCGTGTGTAGTTTTCTGTCACCAATAAATATAAGTGCAACCCTCAATGCTAGCTCCTTCCCTCTCAGTAAAATTAAAAAATGCATCAGAAACCTGCAAAGGACCAAAACTTTAGCAGACGTGGCCTCGACAACAACCGGAGTGAGTGACCGGCCGACCACAGCAGCGTAGCATTAGCAGCCAGCTGGTAGTCAGAGCTAATGAGCAGCTGCTGTCAGACTCTGTTTCTGCACTGCAAACTGGAGCTTTTACAGTCACTAGAAGCACATCCATGTTTTTAAAAGTCTCTGTGTGGTACCTGTGTTATGGGACAGCTAGCGGCTGTATTGTAGCTAAGCTAACGGCTCAGAGAGGCTAACTCTACGGTATGTGCGTGTGTCTGTCAGGGGGGACTGTCAGTGCGTGGGATCAAGGTAGAGGTTGCAGTCCGGTGGTTCTCCTCCAGCCGTCTAAAGCATAAGTCAATATAGAAAAATACTAAGTAGAGGTTAAGCAAAAAATTGCCTAAACTCCTGTGAATGATGTGTCTTGATCAGTATACATTTGGAAATGAGGGCAGCGGTATTTTGTATATAAATGTCATGATAAAAAGGAGTCCAAAATGATCGACTTTTTCTCAGCACTGGACAAGGTTTAGAGTGATTTAAAACAGTCATATAATTTAGTTTACAGCTCAAAAACATGTTTAAGTATGGAGTACCCCTTTAAGGTTCAGTAGGTCACAGGCACCAGTGTGAAATTATAGTAGTAGAACTAAACTCCTTGTAGTAGTGCATACCATTTATAGCCACTTATTTTTTTATCACACATTTTTTTTCACTATGGAGCATTGTTTCTATGAATGTGTCCTGCCGGATTTGTAAAAACTAAATGAATAAATCATGGAATAAATTCACACTCTTCTGTCAGAGGTAATGAGATACGATAGGCTACATATTAGCATTAGAAGATAATCATCTGAGGTCCTCTGATATCTGGCTCTCTGTTGGTTTTCTGCCCAGATACAGGAGTGGCAAATGGGAACATGGCAGGATGCCTGCTAAAATCTTGCAGGGTTTATAATGGGAATGCACTATCCCTCAATGGTTTCTGTGGTGAATCAGAGTATATTCATGTGACCTCAACCAACCCTGCTAAAATCAATTGTGGGAAAACAAACTGTGGATGCATTTTGTTAGTCTTTTAATAAACACCTAATAATTTACACTGGTGCATCTGCTGTTACTTCTACAACTACTAGACGTGTTACTACTACCATTATGACTATTTATCTGGTTATAAATACTCCTACTGGAACCTCTTCTCATGTAAAATTCATACTGATCAACCTGGCCAGATTTTTTTACATTCAGTTAAGCTACACCATCACCAATACTGTACCATTAGATAGCAAATTACACATTAACCTGAATTTAAAGGTACACTAATCAATATTTCAATGGATCACATGACTATGTCTTAGGTGTAAGGGGTCACTTGTAGTGATGAACCCATGGGAAATTATCACATAACTCTGTGGTTCCTCTCAGCTCTACAGAGTGTTTTAGGATCTTTTAGCTCATTGTTTTAGTTTTCTGCAACCACAACATTACTGTGTTGGTATGCTCTCAATACTCTCACCAACCTTGTTTTATTTAAGGTCTGATACACCTACTGTACACTACCTGCTTAGCACCAAAAAAAGCAGACATAAAGAGTTAGCAACTAGCTAGTGAACAAAACGTAGCATTTAGCCACTAAAGAGCCAGTGTTTTCTTTAGGAGTTGGTGGAGACCAAAACAGAGCTTCAGCTGAATGCTAATGTTTCACTGTGTCTGCTGGATGTGTAAATAGACAACTGTTTTCTAGCACGCTATACATACAGTATGTGTGTAATCCATCAACTGAAAGTGAGTCAGTGGAGTCTCACCTTGACATAGAGCTGCTGGAACTCATCCAGGTTGAGCCGGCCGGTGGGACAGTCCTTCAGGAAACCCTTGTACCACTGCTTCAGCTCGTGTTCGTTAAACTCTGTGTTCTTCACCAGGTCCTCCATCACTTCAGGGGTCAGCTTGCTGTTCTGTTTCCCCATTTTTCCTACAGAAAGGGCACACACACACACACACACACACACACACACACAATTAATGATCTTAAGCACCTTTCAGTTAACACAGGACACACAGAAGAACCTCTGTAAAATACATTGTTATGAACCTAAAATTCTGGAGGGCTTTTGGAAGAGTGATTTATCAAGGCTGAAAACAGAGATTTCTAGAGAGCTATAAAAGTGCAAACCAAAGCTCCATCTAAAAATAAGCTTTAAACCAAATGAAGTGTAATATGAGGCATGGGAATAGTTTCACGTTAGAAATTAGTCCTGAATTGTTATTTCTTCCTAAATAATAGGGTCAGTTTGCAAGACATCCAAGTTTTCTGTTCTGTCTTCCTTTGCACAGCTGCTTGTCTTAGATTAAAAGCCTTTTTGAGGTTTTGCATTACCATGATAAACTGTATTTTATTAAAGAAAAATATGGATTGAGGGATAGATGGCAACCACTGCACTGGGTTTTCATCCTACCCTGTTGAATCAGAAAGAAATTCTCCAAAAACTGACAAAAAACTTCAGCTATTTAATTTACATATGGTGAGTATCTCACTTTCAGGTGACACTCTTTGGATTTTGGGAAGGATAATAATGACACATTAAAGTAGTTGGTCTGCTGTGACTGTTTATAAAAACTAAAGTGTGCTTTGGTGTTTAATGTCCCCTCACGTCTCCTACTGGAGCTGTTTGCACCCAGCTGCCTCTGTGGATAGTTGATGTATCTTCACAGTGCTGATGCTGCCACTTTATGGCCTTGATTCGTTCATTAACCAACCAATTATCATAATTTGCAAAAGATGGTTATGAGAACATTCCTGCTCGTACTCTCAGCTGAGATGTTTTATTGGACCTCTTTAGCTTGAAAAGACCAAGGGAGATATGAGGCAGTAACAGTATGTGTGGTTCCAATCTGTCTCTTGTGTGCCTAGGGGTAAGGAAAGGAGGCTCAGGCACGAATCCAAGACGTACTGCAGTCATATACACTGAGGCCTGCCATGCTGCATTGGTTTTTTTAAAGCTCCATTTAAGGGGGTTCCTTCAGAGAGACCATTTTTCGAAAGCATACCATAAGTTTTGAGATTGATTTTATGCTTTCCGTGTAGCAGCTGGCTTCCATTTATTTCAATACGCTATGAAAATCAACAATGCAGCGACCTGAAGCTCACCTGGAACAGATAATGCATCAGTTGCTGCCAGTTTTGAATGCCAAAGTTTATTGCTGTGTGGTAATGACATTGCGAGCAGGGACTTTTTGCATCCTTGCAGTGCTTTCAAAGCAGTTGCAACATCCAACTCTGATGTTGGCTGCCAAAAAGAAACCTTTTTACTACAAGGAATTACTAAAGTCCCATTTTAAAATTTTTAAAGCAGTCATGTTTGCTAATTGTTCATTTTCAGGCCCTCACTGTGTCACAACATAGCTCAGGAGTGTACCACACTTCAGCAGCCAACTGCCACATCGTAGATGTCGGATTGTGTTGAACACACCACCAAGGCAAGTTTCCAAAATGGTCACCACTCCCAACTACATTACACAGTAAAAATACACAGAAGGTATGATATCAAAGTAAAATCAAGAGTGAAATGTATAGTATGCCTTGCACATTAATAATTGATTCAGAAAGCATTTGTGATCTGTCTGTTTGACATTTTGGGAAAGTCAAAATTCACTTTCTTCATGTAAGTTAGATCAGAAGATTGATACAACTCTCAAGACTGTACGCTATATGACGCTAACCAACAGTCTTTATGTTAGCCTAGCATAAAGACTGGGGGAAACAACTAGCCTGCCTCAAAGTAAATAAAACGATAAAACCGTGTAAGAACAACAATTTGTGGTTTTACAATGGGCTAAGCAAACTGGCTGCTGGCAATAGCTTCACATTTAATGTACAGCTGTGAGAGTGGCATCAATCTTCTTTCAGTTCTTGGCAAGAATGCAAATCAGTGTGTTTCCCAAGATAAAGAAGTATTTCTTTAAGCCTCTATCTGGGTGGAACTGGGCAGGGAATATGATTTGTATAGTTTTATTGACATCTGTATGTCCTTTTTCATATAGGCCCCACTATACACAAGGGTTGAACTATTTTAGAAAGTTGCGAAATGGAGGCCTGATGAAGGTCTGTGTGTATCTATGTGTGTGTGTTTGTGTGTGTGTGTGTGTGTGTGTGTGGTGGGTGTAGACAGCGGCTCAGTTAGTTGATCTAATTTGGTTGTCTACATTGTTGATGGAGAGGGAGGAAAGTGGAGAGAGAGACACATCTATCAGAGAAGTTATATGCTTATTCACAAAGACCCCTTCCAACCTTCCCAAGCAGCTCAGACAGTCACTGCACCACAATCTGTCTAAGGAAGATAGATATACTTTGCCCTGAAATCCAATTTTGAAAAATGCTTTCTGCCTCTGTGTGACCCAGGTTCACCAAGGAACGCAGAATTCATAATGTGCAAAACTGAAATTAAAGTTCTGACTAATCATGCCTCCACACTGCCTGTTAATCAAATGGATAATACAGCAAATCAATTATTTTACAAATGAAATCACAGCAGGTATGACAAAAGGCTTCATTGTCAATATGGTAATAAGACATGAGGTAAGTTAATTAGATTATGGTAAACAGAAAATGCTATTTAAACAATGCAACAATTCGATAATCCTATTAAGTTTAATTGCTTATGGGAGGTGGAGATGGGAATCCACACTTACACAAACCAAAAATGACAAAGAGACAGGCCTATAGAAGGACACAAGTACACACACACACACTTATATATATGGAGATTATGGCAGCTGGCTGGATGGATGCCCTCACTATCAGCTAAAACCAGTGAAGTGATCTGACATGGCTGATGCTCACCAAAAAATGTCATTTCTCGCAGACCTTTGATGAATTAATTCAGGACAAGCAGCATTTTGGACCCGCGTTGAGTATGGCTGAATGTCACTACTCATCGGTTTTCAAAAGGCTGTTTGATTACCTGCATTTGTGTAAATCAAGACCCTATTCTTTCTGCTTTGTTACTTCTAAATACAGATAAATAACAGAGTCTCACATTAGGAAGCCTTGATTACAACGCTGACACTTAACATCAGCTCTGGTAAAGCCGGGCACATGCTGCTTCAGTTTTAAAATCCTAACAGATTTTAAAATTGGGTTGCATCACTCACATTAATCACCCAAAGAGATTGTCTTCTGTCTGATCTCAAACATGCACACCACAATACAAGATTTAAAAATAATGCTGCATCACGCACTAGAGGATATTATTAAGATTATGGTGCCAGAGGGAGCAATGGACCACCGGGATATCATGGGGTACATTTGGTACACAAAGCCACAGCACCATTAACATCCTATTCATCTGGACTTTCTCCCTACATTTGTGGTTCCCAACCTGGGGTTGCCATAGCTTTATGGTGGGTCATGAGGCCTTCTTGATTTTAAGGAGTGCTAGAAAATGTAAAAAATATACACAGTAGGCCTATTTCTCAGCATTTGTTTCATTTATGTTAAGAAAAGTAAAGTTAATTGTTCAATTTATTGTCTTATAGAACAATAGGCAAGCGTCAGGGACAAGAAAACATTGAATTTGTCAGAAAATAAGCCTATTAAGTCTGTATGATTGTTAAAAATGATACTAATACATAATACAGAAAGAAAATTGTATAAAAAGTTTCCTAAACAGGAAATAATTTGCTCAAAATTAATCCAGATTACTTGTTTTATGCAAACTACTGAGCTCACTATGTGGGTTAATTGTACAGTTTTCATTATAATATGAAATACCAATAAAATATCACTTAGTCAGGGGCCGTCAGTTTACTAAACGATAGAAAAGGGGTCCCTGAAGGAAAAAGTTCGGGAACCCCTGCTTTAGTACCATGACCTGTGTGTGAAGAGGTAGTACTCTATGAGGTAGTTATGATGCAGATGCAGAATATGCACACATATATGTAAAGATAAAAATCTTGCCTTTATTAAATAGGACAAGGCCCCATACAGCCTTGTGTTATATGGTGTGCCTGACAGGGGCGGCTGCGGCTCAGGAGGTAGAGCAGGCCGTCCATTAGCCCCAGGGTCAGTGGCTCGATCCCTGTGTGCTCGAGCAAGACACTGAACCTCAAGTTTCTCCTGATGGGCAGGCCAGCACCTTGCAGGGCTGCTCCGCTGCCATCCTTGTGTGATTGGGTGAATGAGAGGTAATATTGTAAAGTTCTTTGTCCATAAAAGCTTTTTGGTGTCATTGGGCAAAAATCCCAGAATAACCTTTCAGCATATTGTATAGCCCGTGATGGGAGACTTAGGCCTCTCACGGGTCATTTCAGAGAGACTGCGTTCCTATTTTGGCAGGGCAACCTTCTGCTGCTTTCGGAACTTGTGGGTTTGGTGGAAGGGGGCTTAGGAGTGATATGAGGTAGCAGAGAGAAAGAAGGTTTTGCCTACTGCAGCTGCTGCATATATAAATGTAGTTCTTTTACCTCTCAAGTGCATTCAGTTCGAGAGGAAGTTTTCTGATTCATAACTAACCCTGTGATCTTTCAACTGCACAAGGTAAAAATCAACACAATTGGTGTTCTGAGAGTTTCAACAGCTACTATAATCATTTAGCAGCAGTGGACCAACACAACTGCTAGCAGACAGAATGTGCAATAAAATCCCTTTTGTTGAACAACTTTTCCTCCATAACACACACACACACACACACACGGCAGTCTGATTCATCTAGCATTCAGAATACAGTCTCTTTGATATGTGAAAATTATGCTGCAACATTGAAGGGACCAAAACACTGACACACCCGCGCGTTAGTGCTTTACATTTGAGTTATATTTTTGGTATGGTGTTGGTATGAATGACATATGTTCTTTTTATCTCTATGTATATATGCTTACATTTTGGATTTGGTAGTACAAGGCCTGGATCCTGGATTCATTAAAGTGGTAATCCAGGGATTTCGTATTGCATATCCATAAAGAAGAAGAGACAGATTTTAAACAGAATTGAAGCAGCATTGCTTTGTGCAAGATTTGATTGTCTGTATGGAAATAAGGTCTCCATCTGCATAGGCCGTTACAGGAACAATATTCTGTCTTATGAATACAAAACTAGGGGGTGAAACCTAAGAATATAAAGCACAACTGTTTTCTCAAAGGAGACACACATGAGATTTACAGAATAGATATGTTGTGGCAGCAATTTGATTTTAGCTTAAGTTCGTACTCTATCAATACTTTTATTCAATTACTCATCTTCTCTCTCACTTTTTGTGCAAGCAAAGAGCTACTGTGTGTACAAAACATTCAGGTGATCATTTAACTTGCAAGTGTCCACGTCAATGTTTAAGTTTAAGTTATTTAAAGGTCCAGTGTATAACATTCAGGAGGTTTTATTGGCAGAAATGGAATATAATGTTCATAACTATGTTTTTATTAGTGTATACTGTAAGTTACTTGAATATAGGATTTGTTTTTGTTACCTTAGAAGCTGTTTATCTGTTTATATCTACAGGTGCCACAGGTCTCTTTCCATGGTGTCTGCCATGTTTCTACAGTTTCCCAAAAGACACTAGCTCTAGACAGGTGCGTTTGCGTGTTTCGCGGCCACCATAGTTTCTCCTTTGTGCTTGGAAGGGAAGGGTGAAACGAGGGAGTTCAAATCTGTAACTACACCACTAGATTCCACTAAATCCTACACACAGGTACTTTAAACTTTCATTAAATTGTTGAAATACATTTTGTTACTACAGTGAACTTAACCCAACAGAACCCCAAAACAATCTACCACAACAGATTTAAATGAGCTGATGCTCTATTAAGATTCAGTAAAATGCTACTGAACCCTAGTTTTCAGCTGCTCTCATAAGCACAAACCGCTACAGTATGCACAGACCCGGTCTAAGACGAGAATTTGAAGATCTGCAATAGTGGTTACGGACATGGGGTTATAGGTTAAACACCACACAATGTGACTACTAAAGTTAAAGTCTAGCCTCTCTCCGAGTTACATGCGTAAAGTCTGTCAGTGCTGCAGTGAGACAGAGGAGGCAGTGCGCTCCGACAGCACTCCTCTGTTACACTATAGGCTGTCAGGCAAGATGGGCTGAGCCTGAAGACAGCAGCTGCAGCAGGAGACAGATGTGTCCCGAGAGAGATCTGAGCACAAGACACATGACAGCCTCGGCATTATGTCACTGTGCAGATGTGTGTGTGTGTGTGTGGGTAAATACCTTTGTATTTAATTTGTGCAGCATGTATGTACAGTGTGTGAATGAATGCACGTGTTCATGTTTACCGTATATATAATGTATCTCCCACCAGTCATCACAGAACTACCAAAGTCATTCAGAATTAATCTGAAGTGCTGCACTTCAAGGCGTCACAAGCACCACATGAGCATACTGTCAGCATATGATGGTGACACAGAAAACTTCTGAGCAATTAATACATTTTTGATGGAAGATACAAACTTCTGATATAGTGATAAATGTTCATTCACAACGTGCTTACAATAGCTCTCACTGCATCATAATATAAGTGTTGCTGATTCCTCTGTCGTCCTTCATTCATGCAACAAGCAGCAGAGCTGAATCTGCATCTGTATTGTTTCAGTGTGTCACCTGTGGCCCAGCTTCACGCCACAACATGCACTTTTTTTCCACATCAGGCAGTAATATGTCTGGGCCTTATTAAGAAATGGCAAAAACAGCTTATATAATAAGATGCAATTACTTTCACTCCTTGTGAAAGAGTTAATCTTGAGTGCACTAACACTTAATAAATCACACATTTTCTAATACCACCCCCGCAGCTCACTTTATAGAAAACCTGCAACTGCACAACCTTTAAAGTGACGCATGTGGAAACATGGTGTGGTGGAGCAATTTCAAAACCTCTTCCTCCACATTTTTTAAAGATATTTTTCAATGACTTTTATCTTGGACCTGTTTTCACAGATCTGAGTTATCTGATGTTTTTTTTTACAAATACCAGAAAATTCATGATCATATTTGTCCATAGTTTCCTTTCTCATGTCAATGCCTCCACTGTCATTTTTCAGAACTGTGTAAGAGCCTTGCCACCTTCTCATCTGTCCTGTTAGTGTTCCCAATCAACGTTGTACTGCAAAAAATGTGGAATGGAATGAAAACTAAATGTTAGATAACTGAAGTAAATCTCTCCACTCAACAATCGCTTGATAGTCAGCAGCCTGCAGATGTGATAATGATGAAATGCCTTCTACTCTCTCCACCAACTGACAAACCCTGGATGAACAAGATGAACAAAGAGGCATAATTCACAGTAAAAAAGGAGCGTAATCAAGGTGTGATTTGAGACGGATGCAGTGGCATGACACTCTTGTTAGCACAAAATACTGAATACACCCCGCCCCTGTTTAATTTCTATGTGTGGTAATGTTTCTTACCAGTTACTCACATCTACAGGAAAAAAAAAACAGACAGCATGGTGTATGATCAGCAAAAGTCAGAGCTTTATTTTAGCTGGAGAAATGAGAGGGACCGAGTCTGGGACAAGACAGTCTGGGTCAGTCTGCAGTGCAATGCAGAGCAGAGCCCCATGCTGACTCCAAACCTGAGTCATAGCCCTTTGTCTTCTAGTCCACCGGGGTCTCGTCAGAACCAAAAAAAAAAAAATCCTAACTGTATACACATCAGCCGACAGGTGCGGACTGACACAAAGATATGTTGTCAAATGAGTCATTTTCCGGTCGTGTAACAACCAGCAGACCTGCCCCTGAGCCAGGCGCTAGGCTATTACATAACACTCTCCCTTTACCATTATTTGCCAACAGTGGATGACCTTGAGAGCCAGGCAGAGCCCCAGCCAAGAGAGGCAACAACACATGAGAACAATGCAGTTTGAGAGATTGATTCGGGCAGATTTTGTAGATGAATATGTAACATAAGCCCTTATTGTCTAGAAATGTGATTGTGTGTGATTGTGTGTGTG